TTTGGGAAACTCTCCCCAACTCGCATACCTGCAATTCGTATTTGTTGATTCATAATGAAGATATTGTTCAAATTAGCTGACTATTTAGTACTACATTCTATATTCCATATTCCATATTTACATTCATTTATACTTTATATATTCCATTCTAAATTCTGTATATTCTATATTAAGTATATTAATTATATTAACGTGAGAATATATATTAACGTGAGAATATAAATTAAAAAGTACATTTGTATCCCCCGTTATTATTTAATAATTCATTTATTTCTGTTAATGCCGTTATTATTATTGTTACCATTACCACTACTACTACTATTATTATTGTTGTTATTATTATTGTTATTATTATTGTTAACAGATGATGATAATGATTCTTTGGTTGACCATTGTTGTTGTTGATGTTTTTGTTGCTTTGAATATTTTTCTTGTGGTGGCGGTTCTGTAAATTCTTTATCTTGACTTGGTAAATTTTCTGGTGGCGTGGGTCTTGGTTTATTCCTGAAATATGAATGATTTAATGCCTATAAGAAAGAGTATTTTTAATAAAGAGAAAGAATAATTTTAATAAAGTGAAAGAATGATTTTAATAAAGAGAAATAATAATTTTAATAAAGTGAAAGAATGATTTTAATAAAGAACGATTTAAATAAAGAGTTATAAATGTACCTCACGAGCTGTTATTCTTTTATTAGGATCATACACTAATAATTTTTCTAATAAATCTATCGCATCATTTCCTGCAGCTGTAAAAAGTTGTTTAAGAGGTGTCCGAGCATATTTTTGAAATCGAACATTATTCGATAATTCCGTAAATCCCTAAAAATTTGTATAATTATAATTAGTATAATCATCTTCCTACCGTAATCGTTATTATAATCATTTATAATAATTTATAATCGTACCGGCCATTCATCTTCAGTTGGTGTCCCTAATGCTGAAAATATCGTTTCCAATTGTCCTATATCTGTTTCCCCAGGAAGATATGGTGTTCGTAACATTAATTCGGCAAAGATACATCCTACTGCCCATATATCAACTGCGTAACTATATTGTGAAGGTACAAAAAATAATTCTGGAGCTCGATACCACCTTAAATTAAATTAAATAATAATTTTTATAACTTTAATTAAGGATTAAATCGGATTAAATTGAATTAATTGAATCAAATCGAATTAATTAAATTAAGTTAATTAAATTGAATCAAATCGAATTAATTAAATTGAGTTAATTAAATTAAATTATTAAATTGATTTAATTAAATTGAATTAATTTTAATGTTATACCTTGTTACAACTTGAGGTGACATATTCTTGACATGTGGGTCTGAGAAATCACGCGCTAAACCGAAGTCGGCAATTTTTAATTGACCATCTTT